ATGTAAAATAAAGGAAATGCTTTTTTTTCTCATATGTTTGCTGCATCCAGCACACAGTAAGTACTCAATATGTATTCATTATTGCAGATTTCTTTCCACACAAGCATAGAGTATATTTAAAGCAAATATATGTGTTTCTATTGGCTAAGAATTTGGCTCCAAATCAATTTCTGATCAATATTTCATGCCAATGCAAATGCTGTTCTCTCCCTAAATGAGACAATGACTTTTTCCAGGATTAGTGGAAACTGCTAGAGCATGGAGCTGTCATTCAGGCCTCTAACTTCACAGTAAATTTTATTCATGTTAATATCAGAATGTCCCTAGAGATCAGGATCTTTTCTCAATGTTAAAGACATGCTCTGAGTTTAGGGTACTTGTATCCAAAATAAGTGCAAATGCTTTTTAATTGAGGTTTCTGCATAACTTTGCTGGCTCAAATACCTAGTTCCTTGGATATTTTTTTTATTTTAAATGGAAAAGCATGCAAGATGCTCAAAAAAAAAAAAAGAAAGAAAAAGAAAACAGATAAGGATGGCCAGAATCTCAACATCCTTAATTAGGTGCTCCAAGAGTATGCCATGTGGTTAATGATGGAGGTTACAGAATCAAACTTACTAGCTCAGACTGTAAGCAGATCTTTGCAGGAAACATCCTCAGCAGGAAATCCCTTTTGCCTTGTCACTTTAGCAAAGCTACATTGTAACTAACTTTTAAATCTGGTGCCCCTGTGCTTTACAAATCTTTTGATCACATAATACTTTGCCTAACTTGATTGGTGTTCTCCACAGACCAAAGAAGTAGAAATGGAGAATAAGAAATTATTCACAAATGATCAGATCTCTTTCCTAGTTCTCCTTCAGTAATCTCACAAATTGTGAACAAGATAGCATCTAAGGAAAATTCACAAGGAATTGACAGTCCTGCACATCAAGCCTGCCTGCAGTGAGGGATGGTGATGACTCCGATCCCCTTATCTCAATGATCAACAGAGATCACTTCGTTTTTCCTTTAAAAAGTTCATGGCTGAGCAGAATCTTCTGAGATGGTTTTTGGGGACACTGAGTCCATCATTTCC